AAATGAATACAGTTAAGTGGAGTTACCTATAGAGTGCGGTATTGTCAAATACCGATTTTTGTGGAATGCGCCGATTTTCTAATACAGGCTAAGGATAACTAATTTAATATAATTCACTAACTCTGTTACAGTTACAAAAACTTAGGTGACAATAGACTGAAGCAAAATTTAGTTAAAATTAGCAACAGCTGATCCATATCTTCTTGTATCAAAAAGTTATTACATTTTACACCAATGTCATGGATAAGTACACCGACCCAACTATTCCTTTCCACAGCCACCGCTACTCACTCAACACATTTCAAACAAGCGTTTAATATTTCATAAGCAGCGAGAGGCTCTCATAAAGGATATTAATCGCCGCATTAATAGTCGGAAATATCGCGTAACTCAAACAAAGTATGAAATTAATACGCAAATGACAAAAATAAAGGGCGACAATTTACGGGACGCGGCAAGACGCATGGCCTTCGGGAGAGGGAAATGAACGCTAAATAATCACAGGGGAAACACGCATTCGTCAAGACTCCGGCTTTAGAATGCAATTAAAACTCCATACATCACGGTTTTTATCCCGACAGATGCTCCACCCGGAATACCCGCGCATATTTCCGTCGTTACGTTTTTTATCTTGTGTGATTTTTTAGTTTCGACAAATTTGTAACCTGTCTGTCGTTGGGTGTAAACATGTGTGGAGTGTAGAGACACCCGGTGCGAGGATAGTTTCCTGAAACTGTGAAATCCCGGTGGTCTCACAACAGGAGACTGTACAACAAGTGTTGTACATTTTGTATTTGACAGGCTGCAACGCTTGAAAACGTCACAAGGTAAATAAATTTTGAAAACCCATTAAAATTCTTGATACTGGGTGAGGGATCGAAAAATGACACTCAAAATAATGACTGTCCATAAGTTACATGGCTAAAATGATACTCTTCCACGATACTCTTCCTGCTCAGGTTTTTTCGTATCCATGTCTCCAAGTCCAGACCCAAAATGCACTTGTACCTGCAGTACGCATGGATCAACTCTAGAATGGAAAACAATTCTATGTGCTTGAACCATCCAACAGGTATACCGGCCACGTTTACATGATAGCAGGTATATACGCATCAAAAGTATTTATTCCGATGTCTTGTGTTGCATGTATTGTGTATTCAAACCATCAACGAACCTACTCAAGATTTAGTCTCCTTGAAATCTTTGCCAAAGGAATCCTACAGAAACATTATTTACATGTACGATATTTACTTCACACAACTGTTATAGTATAGTGAGTTTTGCTATTCTGATTAGATAGTAAAGTTGTAGGACATCTTCTATGTCACCTACTCGTCACTAGGATCCCCACATCCGGACGGGGCGCCGACGACGGACGTTGGCCCGCGACGTGCCGGAAGAAGTTCTTATTTGGCGCTAGCTGAGCTCGCATAGCAAGCAGCTACACAGCTACAGGCCAGGCACATTGTCCGAGCCCTGCTATAAGTCTTGCAGGTCACGGGTCACCAGCAGACTCCAATATATTTCCTTCGACAACACTAATTCCACGACGGACTCACGAATTCCCCGTCTGTTTGTATTTGTTGGCCTTTGTGTTGCGGGTCCTCCGCGCATACCGCTTGGGTGGTGGTCTTAGAGTTTCGGGTGTCGCATTTGAATTTGGCAAATTTGGTTGATTTAACTCATTTCGTTTGTTTTCATTCCAACTCTGCTTTCGCTCACACGACTATTTACTTCTGTAGCCAATACAGTATTAACATTTTATCTGAAACAAGCTGCCACTATTGTAGTTTATACAACTTTTCTAATAATTCGATTTTCTTATATGAAATAAAACAAGTTTTATCTTGTGTTGCAGTTGGGGAAAGAAACATGCACAAGGGAATGGACAATAAATATCACTACAGTTTTTGTTGGGACGAGGTGCCAAGTTCCAAGTGTACTTGCATAATATGGAGGGTTGCCAAATGAAATGTATGTCAATGTTCAACCTAGTTAATAATGTAATATGAGCGCTAAGTCATATCTCCATAGTCTGATACGTAATGCTTATTTGTAATTAACGATTTTCTAAAGCGGAAGGATTTTATGGTTTTGGAGGAAACACCGGTTAACTGTCCAAATGCAATCTGTGCAGCATCTACCGCCTCAATGTCACTTGACCATCTACAACGCACGCTACAACTTGAGTTTGAGCGCCAAAACAAGACACCGGCGCCTACTTAAATCCCTCAAATGTTTATTTATCCTCAGCCCGTGTTCTCTAATACGGTGACGTGTCTACTTTTCATTCAGCCTCATCCGAGCCGGCACGACTGCCGAGCTTGTCTCTTCGGGGAGCTCATTAAAATACAATAACAGTTGTTCGTCTGCGAAGATCGTGTCTGGAGTAACACCACACGGCGCCATGGACTGCCTCTCGCCTAGCATCTGCATTGCCGGGTAATTAAAACGTGTATCTCTTTGACTTCCCAACCACTAAAATACTGCAACGTGATTTTGGGGCTTCAGAATTGACCATCGAATAAAATACAAGTTTCGGTAAGAAGACAGCTGTTGAGGATGTGCTTTGGAATGACAAGAGGATGATTTAGCCATTTAGATTATAGTTACATTTTCGCGTGTCTTTACACCCACTGCGAAAGAGACACTAACGTTTTATCATTCAATAAAAGAAGAAACTTGTGACAGCGGACAAGAAGGGAAACATGAGGGTAAATTCTAGATGCGATTGTGTTAAATGATGATACAAAAATGAGACTATGTAAAATTATACCGTTTCAAATTACAAATTTTTTGGGAAATGGATACTTAAAAGAACGCATCACAAATAGGAGACAGTAAATCTGTATTTCACAATCACTATTGCAATCGTCGGGCCAATCATTACAAAGGCAGATTTCAAGATATGAATAAAAGAGTGATGGCATTTTTAGCCATTGCAATTCAATAGGGCTTCTGAAGAAGAGAAGAAAAGTGACCGAGATCGAAACTTGCAACCACTATATAACTCGATGTTTGATCTTTTGTTGCGTTTCTTCTTTGAACCCCTCATATTAGAAATAAAAATTCGGACGGTTTTGGTTGTCAAATGCATACGAAAACGATCGTATTTCCTTAGAACCGAGAGGCCGAATCTGTATTGAAGCATGTCCTTCCCAATTATAAGTTTGATCATTTCCCTCATCATTTCTTTGTCTCCCGACATCGCGTGCCAGCCTCACGTCAGTTGTAGCTACTGCAACTCCTCCGACATCAATTAGGGCCAACTCACCGACTCCTGTTGGCCTCTTATCAATTAACTCACCGACTGTCTGGCCTCTTAATTGGCCATCAACAACATCTCGCCTGGCGGGTGGGCTCACGGAAATTAATAAACATCCAGGATCACCCAGTAAATTAAAAGCACCGAATTGAGACGATCAAATATTCCCAACGTGATGGGTTCATCGTGTGATTTTTCGATTAGAAAGACAAAAGCGTAAAAAGTTAAAAGCATAAAATTGATAAAAGTTGTGCCTGAGAATTCGTTGTCCTTTGTGATAGTGTGTATGTGCGTTGTCAGAGAGTGTCGTTTCGGGGTATTTAGCAAATCAGGAAGATGATTTCTATTCCTATGTCTGATTATTTTTATCTTAAATAATTTCTTGTACTGATACTTGTATCGCAAGTAAAACAGGTGAACACCTTTCTTCCTCTTCATGAGTTCACCCCAACTCCATACATACAGTATTGAGTCCACCCAAGGTACAACATTACTCATTGGGACAGAGAAAAAATGATTTTCGGTTTTTCTTTATTATAGTTGAGAGTAAATCGAAGTATCGATTGAAAGTGTTGTCTACTTATTACTTATATAAAACAGTACGGTACTTGACTTAGAATGAGGCTTAGAGCTTTACTACTGTATCAAATAAATGTATCGGACGTTGAGAAGAATGCTGTTACTCCTTAAGTTAGAAATTGTAGTTCATATTAAAATATTAATACGTTTAAATACACTTAAATTAGCCCTGTTAAACTACATATGCTAAGTTTGTTTTTGCAAGACTATTCCAACGTACCTTTCAAAAATCTACATCAAGCAAGTTTTATCATCACATACTGCACTCAAAATAGTCAAAACAGAGTTTTTCAACCCAAGACAACGCAAATGAATTCCAAATTAAACCACTCAGCGATCTCCCCCACTTAAGTTTTTCACACAGTTTACGAACCCGCCAAATTGGCGTGAATAATAATTCTATTTAGAATCATTACGGAGCGTATTAGCATACGTGAATTTATGTGCTTTTAACTCGAACGTGGGAGTGTAAACTAAAGAGGAGCAAAGCTAATCCGGCTAATGAAAATGGAACTATAACAGAGTACAAGGGCGACACAGCGACACAGGCTCGAGGTGGGTAAGCAACAAGGGATGACACTTAGCATGTAAATGTTATCAAATCAGCTCGTATTGACAGATGGAGGATATCTGAGAACTACAGGAGGGGCTAATGACGCAGAGGATCTTTGGGGAATGGGGATTACCCTTAATAGGCACTCGGCACCCCGCGATCGAGTCATAACGGTTTTATACCGAGGCTGCGATAATCTGATAGATTTTGTTTAAAGAACAGCGGGGAACCTAGGGTGAGGCCCTGCGGTAATCCCATCCTCGAAACATACGTTCCTCCCAGGACCTATTGTTGACTTTGTTTATGTGTTTCGCCATATATCAAGCCTCCGCCTTTGTCCCGAGTGTCAATATTTGTCGCATTGTAAGGTGATTTATCTCGGAACGGATTGGATTACGAGATTGGATTACTGAAGTAGACTGTGAAGAAATATGATAAAAACTAAAAGGGAGTAACGGGTTAGCACCTGGTTAAAACCAATTTGAAATTTTTAGGGTTGTAAGTCCTTTTGTATTTCCAGGAATATAAATTGTTTTAAGTAGATTATTTCACAGAATTTTCTATCGCTCGTGTATGGTTGTATTACTTGAATGCATAACTCACCCGTTGAAGGCATATCCGGCGAAGGCGGTGTCGTAGGGGTGATAGACGTGGTAGGGCCATGTCGCAGCACCAGCCGCTAGGTTCTCCTTCAGTTCCAGCCCAGCAGCCTGGAAATTATCTTACATTAATACACGGATCAAAAGAAATTAACTATTTCTCCAAAATCTATTAACTCCAAAATGCGCGTTGAGTTTTGCTCATGTTCTAAATTCGGAAGCTTCAACAAACATCTTCCATGCATGCAAACATCTATTTAGCAGAATTCTCCCGTGTTTAATCTCTACCATTTGCATTGCTAGACCGAAAGGTCTCTTCAGAAGACCGAAGAATACCTGGCCAATCCTGTTTAATTCCCAGACCATTCAGTCTGAAGTATCTAAGCTACAAAGTGGATTGATGTTCTCACTGGTTGAACCAAATGCAGAGACGCAGAACCAATAGAAACGACTGTTTAGTGTTGAAGTTCCTAGAAATCGAAAGTTCGCAGGGCATTGGCTGATTCCCAGGACACGTCTGGTCGTATAAAATGTTGAGGGAAACCCGACTTGTTATTCAGCGAGCGTCGGAGAATCTCAATAGCGCTGAGGGTAATGTAGGCTTCAACAGGTTGGTACCTCTGCGTCATCCATGTTAACCATATTTAGAATACAGATATCGTCACCTGTATTTTTATTTGCTACGAGGTTTTGATATTTAAACTATTTTTACTTTTGTCGGAATTTATTGACTTTTTGGGTGTTATTTAGATTGATGGAGTTACTGGGTTAAAATAATAATATACTAAGGGAATATAGAATAGGAGCTTATGGGAATTAGTGTATTAACAATATTTCAATAATGTTGTGTGTCAAGCAAAAAATTTATGGACTGGAAATAAAGAACAAATATATTCTTTGTGGCAATATCATGTACACACTCGGCAGCTTCTCAACAACAGCCTGTATAAAAAGTCTTCAAACACTAAACCCATTTCAAACAACTCAGGTATCATTGTCTCTTGCTCCAGTTGCAGAACCTCGCAAGGTGTTCCAAGGACGTATACCTCTTGTAGAAACTTTAGACAATAGAAGACAAAAAGCCGTGAATGGCGACGAGTTTTTAAACCGTGAAAACATCTTAGTCAACACGCAGACGTCGCGACGTATGAAGCGACAGGTAAATCATAATTGATTTTTTCGATCTTCTTCTATTTCGCAGAAGCGGTTAAAATGCAGAGTGCAATCGCAATCTGGGAATGAGTGAACCAGTTCATACCTTCACGCCGGACAACATGGCTGCCTTGTCTGCGAGTTGTATGACTTCTACTTGGACGCTATCCTCAGCTCGGGTTACTCGCCCTACAAGGATCCTCACAGGACCTGTTCTGTTCTACTAATGTCACAACATGTCCTTTGGCCGGTCCTTCCCGCAAACTGGTTCGCCGGTAATGGTGGTTCGGTGTAGACCGGCTTATTCGGCACCACCGACAAGGGATTTCGGTTTCGTACACGGTACAGGTGTATGTAAGAGTTTGTCGTGACGTCACGGCGTCCGCGTCGCGTGATCCGATGGGAAATTAGCCTAAGTCTTGGAGAAAAGAAGATTAACTGGAGATTATCTGGTTCCTTCGTGTGGGGTTTGACGCAGTTGGAAAGTTTGAATAATTACAACTGCAATTCGGTTTGTGGAATATGTAAAACGTGTAAGCTTATGATGCAAATACGAGCCGCGAGGATTATTATTTTAACATTTGGCGGAGTCCGAAAATACATGTTAATTTTTAATAAAACCCCCTAGGTGATAAAACCTTAATAAACCTTAATAAACCTATAATAAACCTTAATACTGTACTAACTTTTTACAGTAAAAGAAAATTCAGCATCATTATACCTTCAGTAGAATATAATAAATTCAATGTATAATTTCGCATTCGATCATTGATTTTTTTCGTATTGGTTTTTTTGCATTCATCAAGATAAGACAATTATTTTTAATCAATATCATGATCGAAAGTCACTTTGCATTTTCAATAATACTTAAACAAATACGAATTTTACTTATTTGACGGTATCATATGACACTGTAAACGCAGAACATTGATTAAAACTGAAACCTAAAATTACATTTGGTGATCTTAGCTATTGAAGCACCAAAATACCAAAATCCTTATGCCATGTAAAAATATTAAGCGCAACAACCACAAAATTACCTACTGATTATAATTTACAGGAGTTTGCTTCATATTAGTGTTATTTACAAACTGAAAGCCTATATAAAAGGTGTATAGCAAGACGTTGAGTACTTTGCTTGAGGTTTTAAATTTTGGTCTCATACAACAAAATAGGACATTTCTTTCCTGGGACCTTTCAACTTGCACTCATCAACGCTGCAATGTATTTGAGAATGAAGACTCCACAATGTCACTGAGCAACAGCTGCCAAGAGCTCAGATGACGAGTGACTGTGGGTCACAGGGCGTGCGAACCTTCATCAACTTGGACGCCAAGAACAAACCAGAGATCCATTGACACGAGCTGACAAAGGCAAAGTTGACAAATATGACGAGACGACATTTCCGGCGGACAAACAGGTATAATGTTGACCATCGGTTCTCAGCTGTGGACACCAGTGACAGTAATGAGTGGACCTACAGCTTCCCACGCCTGCCATGTCACGTGTCGGACACCTTCTGCGTCCCGCAGGAATTCCTTCTTTCACTGTGGAGAATCGGTTTTTGAAAGGTTCTCGATTGGAATCCAAAACTGTGGTATTTAGAAACCGTTTGGTAAGGTAATGATTTCATGATTATGGTGTTCGAATATGTATATTTTGAATGCCGTTGCAAAGTAAAGCTGGGTTTGAGACAACTACATTCAACTTTCTTTCTTTTTAAGATTTACACCACCGTGTCCAAATCCAAAGGAATGTTAAATTGCAAACTAATTCTAATCGTTACATATAATATTTGAAGGATTATATGGCTAGTAAGTTATAGTTATTTCAATACAACGGTCGGGTTATATCAGAATGAAAAAATACAACCATCAATTCAATGTCCGCCTATAATTACTGAAGACTGAGTTAGTACTTATTCAGAAAGTAATAGTTAGCAGCAAAACCAACAACGTTCAAATAGATGTATATAAAAGTTCAAGTAAAAATCTTACTACTAGCTAATTTTTACCAAAATACTTGTTTAACTAAATATTCAAACTTTATCAATGGTATAGAATCTGTATGAACTCTTTTCAAACGCGACAGAAAAACACAACAAACACGCTGTTTAATACACGTGTACTTAACAACCTTAAATCCGAGTTTCTATAACAATGAAATATTTTTACCGAGGGATTTTTAAAAGGGACAAACAGCGAGAGGCGCGTGTTTTACTCTTAATGAACAAGTCCAATTACCCTCTGGAGGACGGAAGCGTCTCTCGAATAAAAGATGGAAAATGCTTTTGTGGCCGGCGTTACAAAAGTCCACAAGTCCGCTGAATGGATCGGTGTGCTAATTAGGGACAGCGAGGAGACGGTGGCTGAGGAAATTTAATTATTAGCAGAGAAGTCGTTGTCTGGAGTCATTGAATGGTCACCTCAGGTCGTGTATGGTAGTCTAACGAGGCTTTTCACATTTCGATACCGACGTGAAGAAAAGGAGCCCATCCTTTCAGCCGCCACTCCATAATGGACCGTAATTAATGATCGCTAGCCTAGACCATATTGTGCTACTAATTATTAATGTACAGGCGTCATTTTTTATCCTGTCAGTGGATATCTCAATTCAGATGCGAGCTTTTGTCAAATCCCATTGTGGACTTTTCTAAAGCTCCGCCCGCTGTTCAATTAGGAGAATAGGTTCGGAAAATATTTGTGGAAAGGATTATACGGAATCGTTAGAAACGTTGTCGCTGATTTACCCGGCGCCGTTGTAAACGTGTGATTAACAGTTGGGTTTCCACTGTTATCTTTTCAATTGAAGTTTTTGGATCGGACAGACACAGATTGGACTTTATTACTCTTGTACAATGCGCTGCTGCCGGCCATTGTACGCTTCTAATTGGTTTGTGTTTAATTGTTGCATTTTCTTTTGTCCGTCCGCGTGGAGTTTATTTGGAAACGCGGATTCGTTATTTTCAATTTCACCGTGTAATCAGTGTTGCACGCATTTAATGGCGGGTGGAATCATTGCAAGTACGATGGAATCATGATGATGAATGGTGCGATACTAAAAGTCAATAGTGTCTGGATGTTTATTATATAAGGATGTTATATTTGTCAGATACCGTACAATTTTTCTCATTATATCAAATCTGTAATGTATTAACCATTATGAATTTATTGGGCTGACCACTATATCGTCTAGGTTCAAAGTCATATGGCGCATTTGCCTTTGCTCATTATCAGACATACCCTTGCGTATATTCGACTCTCTCTCGCTTCCAGAAGGTTCAAAGGTCCGTTATCTTAATCATGCACATCTTTGGTGTTCATATCTTTAACTGTCTATGGACTACAGTACTGTTCCAAATGACACGTTTGGCGATTCCCTTCACCAAATTATAAAGTCTGGACTACAGTACGTTCATATTCTCTTGGCACATTTGCCGTCCCTCTACACCTACTCTGGGGTTTTATTTTCGTCCTTATTTAGGGTTCTTGCCTACTGTAGGTTCACAATCCATTTGCGTATGAACCTCCACAAATCGCCCTCTGTGATGTCTAATGATGCTTGAAGTTCGTATGTACAACTGTTTCCACATACTATAGGTTCGAATTCACACCGTTCTACTCTCACCCATCATACACCTACTCTATTCACCCAGCATTTTATCTTCAACTCTCTCTCACCTACAGTTCGCACATTTCCTAGCCAACATATCTCGCACGACACCTATCTCTATGTTCACATTCTCCTACCCTGGTTTAGTCATCCACTATTCATGACCCAAGACTGAAAGTCATCCGTTTCAAAGGCGAGAGGAAGACGAGGAGCGACAATAGCTTTACAACTCAAGTAGGTTAAAAATTAATGATACACGAGTAGGTCTAATGTCGTCAGGCGGATGTCAACGTATTTCCATACAATCATCTGTTCGCCTGTTATTGCTTTGAGTTGCAAATGACCGTTTCCACTCGCATGTTAAGCAATTTGTTTGTACCATGTTGTTGATTTAACATTTTACAACTAGACTCTCACAACTAAGTGTATTATTTATATTACCTAGTAAGTGTTGGAGTACAGAGAGCTGTTCTCGTTTTAAATTACTTATGCTTTCTTTATTACCCCATATTACTTTAAATATACAACTTGCTTATTATGTATTTGCAGTGTATTTACGATTAGACAATTTTACAGGTATGGTTATCACTTTTAATTAAATAAAGAATAAGCATTTAAATCAGTTTTATTAATGAATTTACAATGATTACACCGAAAACCAATATCCAATTACAAAGAATAAATTTCACCATCATCCGCTATACCATCCACACAAATAATCTTAGCTCTGCACAATCCAGAACCCAATAGTACAACTCAGACACACACCATACTGCGTATACAGTATTCCCTCCAAAAAATGACCTCGTCCAAATTTCCCCCGCCAAAACCAGTATGTAGAACGAAGGTGACGCAAGGAATTAGCTAATGAACCTGGATTGCTATCAGTGGAGGCATGCAAATGCAAACAGTCGAAAAGAGGTTGAACTCGTCTTAATTAACACATGACGAAGAACCGTGATGGATTATGACGAGTTATCAGACTGAAACTGAAGCTGTTCTTGTGATATCGATGGAAGTGTCAATCAAAAGAATCATTGACTTGTTGGTTTGTCTTTCTGGGAAATCTTACAAAAGTCCTCTGTTCCAGAATGTTTTACGGTTTGGAAGAAATATTGACGTCGGATGTCACATTTGGTGATTGGTTCGATCAAAAGAGCTGTATCATACCATAGATAGACGAATGTCAGATTGATGTTGGCTTATTTAATTTGAAAGCAGTGTTATCGTAGTTATTGGAATTTTATTTATTACATGACAGGTAATTAGTAATTTGTGTTCTTTTTGAGTCGTGTATATTCTTTCATCTTATCCAGCTAAAAAAATATGTTTCTAAAACACCTTTTGGCGAAAAAATAGTAATCTATCACCTCAAATTTGTCGTCAGCGTGATAGAAATAGACCTACATTGCATATGTTCAACTATGCCAACATTAAGGAAATTCTACATTAACATATCTGGGCAGGTGTGTGTTTTATGATCATTCGAAGGTCGCTGGTGCGATCTTGGGTCAATTCTGGACCCAGCTACTGTTTTTCATTACAGATTAAAAATTCTATCTAAAAATAGTATATATGGGTTAGTAATATGAAACTTAAGAAAACGCTAACTGCATTAAATGCTAAAAACAAATGAGTCATTGTTTTCATATTAAACTTCTTTAGTACAATGTTCGAAAAATATATTCTAAAAAAAATGAAAGCAGATGCCAACTGTTAATTTTATAATCAGAGTAACCAAACCCGATGTGTATTCTTCATAAAAAACTTAACTTTAGTTACAAACATGTGTAGCAATTAAAACAACTGATAAATGAAATATTGAATATATACAACCTAGAATTCGAAAAAAAGACGGCTTTGACGTATTTTGCAGCAAATTAATTACCATTTACATTAATTATATCCATTCTAAAAATTACGTAAGATAGAATAAAGAATAAATATAAATCAAATAACAAACGCTATTTCTTTTTATTGTTAAAAATATTTGAGATTATTTTATATAACAATCAAAAATCTGTGATAGAATACAATCTTAAATAAATAAATATTCTTACCGCGGAGGTGAAGAAGGGCGACTGTTCAGCTCCCAGAGCGGGGAAGTATGCGGCCATACCCTCGGGGTAGGGCGGCCCGTAGCTGAGGGTAGGCAGTGCAGGGGCTCCGCCGAGTCTGGGGTAGAGGAGGTCGTACTGACAGGAGCACACGGTCTGACCTGTGAGGGGATGCAGTAGAGGTCGCCCGGTATCACAGCAGCGAGGCGGGGGAGAGGACACTGCAGGAGGCGGTGAAGCGGACCGAGGAGGAGTCGTGGTAGGCGCGCTAGTCTGTAACAAACAGTAGGGGTTAGAATATACACTGTAGAGGTGAACAGAACAGATATAAATATGAGTAGATGGTGCTACACGTGGGACTAGCTGTACTGGGAGAGGAGGAGAAAGTATTGGTTCAAGTCGATTGCCAGTGTATCGGATAGTATCCTAGGTGCTATGTACAGTACAAATGGGAGGCAAAGTACACCAGTACAAATGATAGTACTTTAGATGATTCCTGTTGCTATAGGTCAATTAAATTCTCATATGGACCAGCTGCATAGAAAAGCAAGTAGTCGAAAGAGGAAATCATAGTGAACTCCAAACTATCAATCTATTTTCTTCCTTAGATTATAGCACTTTGATTGTTTGTATTACATAAAGGATGCAATAGCTTAAAACAAGATGTTCTTTTAGTTTGGCTTGGTAAACAAGTCTGTGAAATCAACAGAAATCGGACATTATCATCAGCGCACTCGGTCAGTAGGTTATTAAACTACGTCTATTTATATTGTAAAACTTGTTGTAGATTTAACTAAGCAATCAGCTGTCTATTTATTCTATATTTAAAGGTTGACGCCTGCAAAATCTTCGCAATCTCAAAAACTTTGACGTTGTGAGAGATTGTTGGTTGAGAGCCTAGACTCGGAGGACTTCAAACTGGAATCGTACTAAGCATCTGACATGTATTCGTGATCTCAGATACTTTGGTACAAATACACGTATATTATAGTCAAGACTTTCTTCAAGCGGTTTCCAAAAACGCGACCCGTTTCACTGCGGTTTTTAAATGGAAACAATCGTTTCCTGGCGACGCTCGACGCTCGGGTTACACGACCACAGCAATAGGAAACCTGTAGTGATGTCGACATCGCGGTTACGACTGTCCGTGTCGTCCGGTCTATCCGACTAATTGTCCGGCTCAACTGTTCGATTTGTCCGGAAAGCCGGACGAATGTCAATTAACAGGTTTCAGCGGCGAAAGTCCGCAGTGCTCTAAACGGGGGCCATTAGAGCGGAGCGAGTTGTGATGGCGACGGCTTTTTACCGGAGTTGCTTTATGCGAAACTCCTCTTTACAAGGTGGGTTAGTGTGAGACTAAGGGGAGTTTCGCTTAGTTCGAGAGGTGTATAACATACTTTACTACAAACCTACATTACTAATTATGCTAACAAATAATGATTCCATCTAACAGGTTAACGTTAGTAACAAGTCTTGGCTTTAGACCGTTCCCCGACAGAAAAAAGTAAAATATTCTTATGTCGTAGAAAAACACAAACGCGTCTTAAAGGTTGGAATTGTCCGTCATGCGGTGGTGATACAGCAGACGGATCACCGCTAGAACATTACTCAACTTATATTGACTTGACTACGCCACCGCGACTGCAGCCGATATATTGTATATCGACCAACTGTTGAGGCCTGGGCAGCGACCTGCACCGACCACAACACACGGTTTAAATTGGGGTGTATTTCACGTTAATTGGGTTTTTTGTGGGCTCGCCGACGCGTTATTGAAAAATACTGGGATTTGAACGGTTTCAATTAGTTTTATGCGTTATTAACCGAATGGAATATGTTGGAATTGTTAGGGGAGTAAGTGAACTTATGTATATTTGGTGGGTTTAGTTTAATGAGCCATTTGTAAATTTTTATAATTTTTCATACTGTGTTTGTAGGTATGTAAATTCCACACACTGCGGTGCAACGTTTTTATCAGTTTGAAAGACGATTTTCCTATTTATATGTGTATAGGCTCAATTTCAATCCATCCAATTGGCAAATGTTTGCATAAGTACTTTTACTTCACTGGTCTTTACTAGGGTTTGGGCCGTTTTTTTACTAAACTAGAAACACATAATGACCTGAAAATACATTAAATTACACGATAAACCTTCAAAATGTAATATTAAAATAGGATAATACGGTAACATCAATTAGTTGTTGTTATCTTTTTTGCTCAAAAGCGCTTTCTGAGAATCGAACCTGAAGACATGCCTTGTACGAGTGTTATAAGCCACAGCCAGTTGTAAATGCCGAACACCGACCAAACCTTGTTCTTGAGCAACTTTCTTTAATTGTCTTGTAAAGCGAGTACAATGAAAGTCGTTATTGTTAACATCGGTTTACAAGTTGAAGAGAACACGTTGTTATTTCACTGAGAAGCGAACATAAAGCGAAGTGATCTTCAATATTTAAACTTACTTGTCCAAGTGTACCTCTTTGATTCGCTTCTTACAAAGCAAGCAACATTCAAATGTTCGTGTTTTCTTGTAGCTCTTTGTTTTGGTAACATCGTTTAAAGTAGATTTTTGTACAGTTGGATTTAAAATGGACACTTTGTTTTAGTACGTTCTTTTTGTAAGTCGGGTCTTCTGAAATTTTAGTTGTTCAAAATGAAAATACATGATTTTCTGTCTTGAATGTATTAAAATTAATTTTAAAAACCTTGTTGGATACCGATTAATAATAGAGTACCAGTATGAAATATTAATCAATCGTTAGGTAAGTTAAATTCGTATTACATTTTCAAATTACTAGGAAATCTATAATCACATATTAAAGTTAACGGATTGTCTACTATTTAATCTGTGCTATAATGTGTCATTGGAATACATTATATCAGGCATAAATATTCAAACAAACCCCTCATTTCACTTGATTTATTGAACTTTTTCGTTATAATTATCTGTGAGCAAATTCTGGAATAGAGGATCTCCAAAGCTTACATTTATATTACAACACTTTACAATTAAAGTGACTGCGTCGAAGTTAAAATCGGTCCAAAAGAGCTACAAACAGGCTGATTCTTAATTTTTAATATCACAAGTCAATTTAATAACAAAAACCTAGTTACTTTACCATCTCATTTGAGGATGAATTTGCACCAGCTCTCATTGGATCATTTCGTGTGATCCACTATTTATAGTAGCCTAAACCAATAATGACATTTATAACGGATAATGCCTCTTTTGATTCTGTCCGATTATTGATGTGTTACTTCCAGCTAACATTTTTTTAAGAGTTTTAAATCACTGTAAACGGTTTCACGTTTGTGTAATATGGCGAATTTCCATAACAATTGACGGATTCAGTTCTCTACATAATGTTACTGTAGTGTGTGGAGATATTCTTATAATGTTCTTTTGTTTTACCGTGAATGGTTTTAAGTAATATGACTGGCTTTCTACACAGATTGACAATTGTCTTGACAAAATGTGTTCCAGCAAGTGTCCGGAATCTAAATACACGCGGATTAGAAAGCTATTTAAAATTCCATATTCATAGGTATTTGCGCCAAATTAACAGCCACACCTGGTCTAGTCTTTAACATGTTCGTGCCACCGGGCTTCACTGTAGGGTTAGACGCGGATAACTTAACATTCTTCGCATTATCAGCTTTATATAGAAGTTGCGGTCTTATTTGGCATCTTGACAAACCCATTGCATTCATTTGAATGTTAATGGGTCCGACAAGAAGTTCTAACGGGGTTGTCACATTATTACCACCTTGGTTGGTGGTGTTGTAGTGGTAATTTGATTTAATTAAATTTTAGGCCAATTAGATCCTTCAGTAATTAGTAACTGAGTTGAATTTTAAAAAAAATCACGTAGTTGAGTGTTGATTAGTTTTGGTAAATATTGTAGATGTGAGGAATGAAACATCTAGTTCATAATCGCACCAATGAATTTAAATTAAATATTTTATATTTTTAACTCAAGTAACAATTTTTCTGCTTAGTATTACGCCGGAAATGTATGAATCAAGTTAAAACATTGCAAAAATAAGTCCAAACAACTATTTTAAAAACAGTGAAAATTACCAAAAAGATAAAAAAAAAAAAAAAAAAAAAAAGATTAACTGTGATAAATAAAAATACAAAATGATTTATGATAAAATTGCGTAATCAATGATTTAAAATAAATAATCACCAACAAGACGTGAATACGTTATTACAAGCTAAAACATTGACTCAATAGTTTATTACGGTTTTACCATGAACAGCAGTTGCGCTTTTCTCGGTTTTCTTCATCATCGATAAGCATTCACAGTTAAACATTTGTAGCTAATATTTCAGATCTGCTTGTAGCTAATATTTTAGCTCTTTTTATTTTGTAGCTAATATTTTGGAATGAGCAACAGTCAATATTAGAGTTTTGGGGCTAGTTTGGCATATTTAAAAACATCCATGATAAATGCCATCATCGACGAGCTGAAGTAGACAAATTTATAAATTAGCTGTAAAAGAAAAAAAATGTAAACGCTAGATCAGCGTTGAATGCTCTCTCACAGAGTTTGTCAAAATTCGTCGCCTCCCTTACGACACTAAGATAGTGGGTGTGACATAAAAGATGTCACAGCTGACAAAAAGTTTGACTATCCGATTGGTTTGGAAACAGTTGGCGACATAAATAAAATTCTCATCAACACACTTTTGCTTAATCCAGCTACGTTTGAATCTATTAACTGGCTACAAATTTAATATTGGGATTCCCTATAGACGTATCAACGTTTAGTGCTATTCCTGTGCTGGACCCTACCGTGCACATTTTGCTAACTTCACACTCGTGTTTTTCTGCGGTTTTCTCAATGAAATGTTCTGAGAAGCGGCGCAACGCTGCGATGGTAGATATCCGCTATCACATCCATTACGACCGCGTGGGTGAGATGCGACGTGTCGTGTCGTGTCGTTGCGTGTTGCGTGTGCACGGACACGTCGACACGGCGAGTAGCGAGCTTGTGTGTCCCCGGCTCGTGTATACTCCCACAGTCTCGTGTACACACTGCTTGTACCCAGCATCTGCTAATTATGAGGCTGTACACTCCGTTGCATCGCATGTTTACATTAAAAGTATATGGCTTTGCACAATGCGGGGTTTATTCAATTACAATACTTTGCCATATTTCGACTTTGTTTTGTTCACTTGGCCAGTGATTTGTTCAAGATGGACTAATTTGCACATTGACTGTCACAATTGGTGGGGTTTTTCACTTGAAAATTTATTTGTAAAAC